GGCACTGTAGTATTTGTCTTGATATTCTCGAGAAGCAAGATGGATGTGCCACGATTTTTAGTCTGCAATTTAGCCGCTGCCGATTTTTTCATGGGTGTTTATCTAGGTAATTTCCTTTTTTCTTATAATTCTTCCATATTTAACGTTGCCATTATCTACATGTTATTCGACTATCTGTATATCGATAATTGATGAAAAATCTCTATTGTCGAGTCCTCTTTGGGGGGGATCTTTATTCAACGAACGATATATATTTTAGGTTTATTGGCTGTTGTTGATGCCTCGACATTAGGAGAATTTCGAATGTACGCGATACCATGGCAAATGTCGGCCGGATGTCAGTTGGCTGGCTTCTTGGGAGTTCTTAGCTCTGAACTGAGCGTATATACTCTTGCTGTGATTACTTTGGAAAGAAATTACGCTATAACACACGCGATGCATCTGAATAAGCGACTTTCCTTGAAGCACGCAAGCTATATTATGACGATAGGTTGGTGCTTTGCTCTGTCCATGGCGACCCTGCCGCTATTGGGAGTTTCGGATTATAGAAAATTCGCTATTTGCTTACCATTCGAAACTAATGGCAGCGCGGCACTCGCATACGTCGTATTTCTCATGCTAATTAACGGAGTAGCTTTCCTGATATTAATGGGATGTTACTTGAAGATGTATTGTGCGATACGAGGCTCCCAGGCATGGAATTCGAACGATTCTCGCATAGCGAAGAGAATGGCGCTACTCGTATTTACAGATTTTCTCTGCTGGTCACCGATAGCCTTCTTTTCTCTCACAGCGACCTTCGGATTGCAGTTAGTGTCTCTGGAACAAGCGAAAGTTTTCGCGGTATTCGTGCTACCGCTCAACTCTTGTTGCAACCCTTTCCTATATGCGATCCTTACAAAACAATTTAAAAAGGATTGCGTGCTGATATGCAAAGCAATCGAGGAATCACGTGTAACTCGAGGTATCGGTAGATGCCGACACAGCTCGAATTTTAGCAATCGGCAGACACCCGCCAATACAAATAGCCTCGTCGACCGGTCGTCACGAGAGAATCAGGGACTTCAAACACCGTGCACTTGCAATTCGAGATTCCTGGAAACTGGAAGCCGTTGCTCATCTTATCGTTGGTGGAGCACCGGAATATTCTGGCCATGTACACGCGACTCCCGGCCACGACACACGCATAATGATCAATACGCCTATCAGATTGCCCAGATTCAACAGAAGCAGCATAAACGGGCGTCTTCGGTGTCATCCAGCGAAAATTTCTCTTCGTCCAGATCGGACTCCTGGCGACAAACGCATCACTGCGGCATTCCGCTTAGATTGCTAGATCCAAAACGAAGAACTTCCTCTTGGTTGATCACTAGGAAACCGTCGCAGGATTCGAATTTAAGCTCCTCGCGTAACGACTCTTCTGGTTCCGCGACCACTGCCAGCACCAGTACCTGGCGCATCTCGAGATCTAGTGCCTCTCTAGAAATTAGCGCGCGTAATACGCCGAGACCGATTAGACCAAAGCCGCGATTAACTCGTCAACTCGCTATCCAGGAGCCGGAACCTCCAGGATCTCCGGGAAGACTGGCCGTTAGATTACTCGCCACGATACCTTCCGCGGCTGAGACCAGTGATCAACAAGATGACGAGAATACACCGACAAATTAAATATTTCTATCTCTAATTATATATATTTTTGTGTATTATACGTATGTAATCGAGCGAATTCTTCGAACGAATTCTTCGACAAATTCAGTATTAACAATCTTCGCTGGTATACCTGCGTAGCGTGTAGTTATATGTACGTATATTTATATTTATGGCATTTTGTACATCTTTAGAATTGTTGCTTAAGCGATCAAGTAGATAACGAAAACGTGCTAGATGTTACGTATATTATCACCATACGGTATTAAATATGTTTCTCATTTTTTTTATTCGATGTTACAATCTATTTTAAACAAAAAATTTAACGAAGATTTAATTTTGAGATATGTTTTTCCTAATGGAATACCAACGAATATATGTCTAAACGTTATTAAGAAGTAATAGATGAATTAATTTAATAAGTATAATCGTTCTTGCGACGAAAATCAGATTTGTCGGACGTCAAATCGACACTGATCCATTTCAGTTAATTGTATAAACGTCTAACGAAGTAGTCCGTCCGTTCGTATACATATATATATGTATATGTATGTATATGTTATATATTTATACTTTTATGTTATAAGACTGATTATGAGTTTTTTTTAACTCTGTACCATTTACACCAATCGTAGGTCAACGAGTTTTGGCTACTAGTTTCAGCTAGTAGTCTTTCGATAGTTGTTATAATATACATCAAACTTATATGCATATATAATATCATTATATGTATACAATATATATATATATATTATATGTACACAAACGTTATGAATTATATGACTTATAATGAATAAAAAAATTATCGCAACGGTTTTACCGTCCTAAGTATAAAGCCCATTCTACAATTGTGTAAGCGTAGTTGAGAATTATAAACTATAAACCAATTAATCGAATATTCTCCTCGTATTCAATTGTGAATTCTCGCAACTATAACCATTTACAACTACGTTTACGCAATTGTAAAATAAGTTTTAGATTTTGAGCCAAATCGCAGTTTACCTCTTACGCAGTGTTTGAATGTTGTAATGGCGGGATGCTTATTTATATTGGCAGATTATATATATTTTATTGTATGAATAGCGTTGCGTTCATCGCTATTAAGTGTAAACTCTGCGTATGTACATACACAGGCCACTACTTACATTTCAAAATATAAGTTTATATAAGCGAATTAAATGAATAACATCGAAAAATTAATTGATAATTGTGAATTTTCTCGAGTGGTTTGATAGAAGTAGTTGATAATAGCACATGTGTGATGTTAAAATAAAATTAAATAAAACCTTTGTGAAATTGATCGGTTGATAAGTATTTTTTTGTTGGTTTTGGCTTATTTTTTTGTCAATTGGATGGTTTTTGAAATAAAATAATAGAAACAAAATTAACATAACATAAATTATAAATAAAATAATTTTCATCAAATTCATATATACAAAGGAAATACAATTTTTTACGTAAATCCACGTAATTATTCATTTTATAATGTAATATGATTATTTGTTTTATATTATATATACAATTCGTTCGGTTATTAATTGTTTGACAATTTTTTAAATTTAATTTATTTATTTTTGTAAAAGTCACTTTCATATTCCAAGGAAGACGCGCTGCATTTGCGACATCATAATATTATATCAAGAATATAATTTAAATACATTAAAATATCTATTTGTATATATTCAACTTTAACGAAGATTTGTACGAAGATTTGACGTATACGTAGTACGGATCAAATCTTCATATATAACTTTACTTATACTGCTAATAAGTAATAAGATCAGATCTATCATTCATTTAAAAAATAACATAGAGATACACATAGCCTTTAGAAACTGTCCTTTATAAATAGATATAAATTCATTGTTTCAAAAATCTCTAAGGAAGAACATTTTGTGGAGAGCTAATGACCATTTGTGGCAAACCTGATACATTTCAATCTCTTTTTATTGCATATTTATTGTCTTACAATAATAAATAAATTAATAAAATTGATAATTCTTCGATTTAAATATAAATTGTTGTACCAGATAACAAGTTTGACACTTGAACACATTATTATAGATACAGCATTCTAAAGAATTATTTGTTATATTCGTTAGTGTACAAGTGTATAATCAGTGCCAAAGTTATACATTAGCAATCAAATATTACCTTCGGACAAAATGAAAGCTTCGGTTTTTATATAATAATTAAAAATTTTTGAATTATACTGAAATTGAAATGTGTCAGTCTAGTCACGAAATTACAAATTTTTTACCAAAGTCACTCAAAACAATTTTGTTATAAAGATAAAAATCGTGCACTAACATATTTGAGCAGACCACAAAAGAATACAATCAGATTCAACACTCAAATAAACTAACGTGCCAAAATATCTTCTGCAAACGAATCTAACATAATGGGAAAGTTATATTATATTTACGCACTCATGCGAGCGTAAAATAACAGTAATTTTTTAACAAATTACTAAAATTACAGAATCCCAGCCTCGCTATGATGTAAGCCATCCTGTAAACCGTTTGATTCTGAGCTGAGTGCATATAACTGAAGGTAAAGTATGATGTTCAAATACATCAATTATATACACAATGATTACGTTCTAATGGCATCAAGATTTGAAGCAAAAACGTATGAAAAGAAACAGAAATTTTAAATTGCTCACTCTGAACACAATCTAAATTTATTGAAAATCCTATATTGCATGGTTAATCTTTTAAATTTATCTGATATTATACATATTCTTGCATAAAGATTTCTACAGTTTGAAGATGTAATTTGGATCAGATGCCAATGTGTCTGTTTTATATATGTATATATACACACACACACACACATATATGTGTATACATATGTGTGTGTGTGTGTGTGTGTGTATATATACATACATAGGATATGATTGTATGAGGAAAATCTTTTTGCTATAATTATTTTAGCGCGCGTTTGCAATTCTTGCACAGTACTTTACAATCTATTTACAAATATATGTATAAAATTTGTATTATAACGTTTTCGCTTTGTCAAAGTGCCGAAGTAAATCACATATATTGCTAGTATATACGGACGGTATAAGAATTAACGATAATTTTAATAATTTGAATCATTTTACAAAGATATCTTTATCGCGATGTAGCTTTGCGTATCCTTATTCATATGATATGATACGTAAAAGCAATTACAACAGACAAGAGTACTTTCGACTTGAGTTTGTGCCCAGCCCAGTACCTAGACGATCACTAAAATTACGGAATTATATCGCGATAAAAAAAAGATTACACTAACAATAATAACAATAATAACAATATAGTAATAATAATAATTGTTATTATTACTATAACGTTATCATGAAAAAATCTTACTTCATAAAAGTTTGCAGCTTGGAGAACATTTAGGATACGTTTCGAGTTACGCATGATATATTATTTAATGCTTTTTCATTATTTGATGAAAAACAAATGATGCATCAAGCGCTTCATACGTAATTCGGAACGAACCTTTAGTCTCCTAAAAAGTACATACCGAAAATATATTGCCATAATATTAAAAGTTTTCAAATATTGCAATTCTAAAAATCTATTTATCTAGGTCGGATGTCTTCGGTGTATCCATTGACTCACTTTTCATTATTATTTTGCACATACGCAAGTTTGGCAAAGTAGAAGGAACACCGCGCCAGGGCAAAAAAACATCCTAAACAACGGTTACGTTTCCGTGAGTTTATACGCGCGCAAAGAAAGAAAGAAAAAAAAAGGCAAGAGAAAAAGAGAAAAGAAAAAATAAAGAAAAAGAGACCAAGAATGTATGTGTTTGTGTATGTACGTCACATGAATAATAATAGCTAACAATTAATAATTACTGATAAAATAATTCTTAAGTGCATGTCGCGATTACAACTAATTGTAATGGATAGCAATTAAGTAACAAATAAGATTATGTGACTAGCGGGCATCACGTGATTTTAGTTTTGTTCTTCCTAAAGGCTGGAAAGTGTAGCTTCCTGCGCCTTCGTTTAAGCTCATCGTTGTCGGCGGTAGAATTAGAATCAGTGGAAAGCGTCTCATCATCGACTGACATTACTGTAGGTAATTCCTTAAACAATTTTTTAGCGCCTGCTGTAATTGTAGTTGCAGTTGCCGTTGTTGTCATCGTCGTCATCGGCGTCGCTGCTGTCATTATAGTCATCAATGACGTCGCAGGACGATAACTGTACCTATCCGAAATATCGAGGGAATTTTCCGAATATGATGTTTTCGGTAGAAACGATGAACCCTTATCCTCGTTGATCAGTATGTTTGTGTCTTGACTATAAGAACGTACAATGCTGGATTTTTCTTTGTACGGCGCAGTCTTTCCGGAGGCTCCAGCGGACTCTTCCAGTCCATCACCTAGCACGAAGTGGACCCCGTGTGTTTCTTTCTCCGCTTCGCTGCTCGAAGAATCAGAAAGTTCACTTCCAAGTCGACCACTGGGCGGCATCGATGACTCTTTCCATACTGAATTCTCCAAAATACCTACGAATATGCCAAGTGTATGGTCCAAAATGCAAATTCCTTTTTTTTATCGCTATTATGAGGATAATAATATTAATGAAAGCGATGCAAGGAGTGAAAGCTTCAATTTGCATTGTCAAGTATACAGCAGAAAAATTGATTCTTTCGTTTTGACACGTTAGAAATTTATAAATGAAATTATGTTCGTATCATGAAAAATCTTTTTTTTACACTGCCGATTCCACATTAAAATACATATAATAAATTACACTTATTAAATACGTGTGTGCGTGTGTGTGCGTGTGTGTATGTGTGTAATAGGCTACAGTCTCGCCGGACACCTTTATATACTATACTATATATACATACATATATATATATATATATATATATATATAAAGCAGAATGAACTACCATTTCTTCTACCATTTTACAATTTTCGCAATAGTTTACAAGATATTAATTGCTAAAAATTACCAAAAATTGGTCTTCAATATTTTTTTAATCAAACTATCAAGTTTACAACAAAAACTGCAAAAGACGAAAATTGTTTATTTTCTTCTCATTCTAAGAATTTTTTAAAAATTTTTTCAGAATTTTTTTAATACCGTATGCATTTTCTCATGTTGAGAAAAATGAGAAAATGCAGTATTAAAAAGTTGATAAAAAATTTTGAAAAAATTCGTTCTATGAGAAAAAAATAAAGAATTTTTGCCTTTTGTAGTTTTTTTGTAAAGTTGATAGTATTTGAGTAAAAAAATATTGAAGACCAATTTTTGGTAATTTTTAGCAATAATATCTTGTGAAGTATTGCAAAAATTGTAAAATGGTAGAAGACTTTTCTTCTCAGTTTAGTTCATTCTGTCTCTATGCGAAAGATTTATCATTATTTTCCAAACACCCTGTATATATTATATATATTGTATATATACAGGGTGTCCGGCGAAATTCTAGCAATAATTCACAGAAAGAAAGCTGGGACTAAACCGATTCAAAAAATCCTCTACCATTTTTTTAATTTTCGCAATAATTAACAAGATATTAATTATTAAACTTCACTGAATATTAGTTTTCAATAATTTTTAACTCAACCGCCGAACACCCGGTAATATATATACACGTACGCACGCATGCACACATTATACATATGTACAAATCATCATCAATATATACGTATAATATAGATTCTAAACTCGTGATCTTTGATTTGATTATTATTTATTCTCTCTCTCTCTCTCTCTCTCTCTCTCTCTCTCTCTCTCTCTCTCTATAAAATAATTTTTTAATTGATAGTTAGATTTGTGTTAGTTAGTACGAGTTCATATTTTTCAAAGTTTCTCTGTCTAAACTACAAAAACTACACAATCTTTATCATCATTACAAAGTTACAATCATCTGAAATAACAAGATTTGAAAATCGATGAATTATAATCTTAAATAATACATATAAACATACATTTGACTATCTATTATTTAATGTTATGTTAGCAATTTAATGTGCGCTAGGCTTTAAAATGAAAAACATGCAAGTTGGAGTGCTGAAGTTTAATATAAGTCATATTAATAAATCCATGTTCTTATTTTTCCAAGCTCGTTTAAATTTATTAATAGTGTTTACTCAAAATTTCATACAGAAAAATAACATCATTGTGTTATATAATCTTTATGAGACAAAATCTCACTAACTCACTGTAATATACATATATGGAATATATTTTAAGGCATCGGTCTTTTTTTATAAAATAACTGCAGAATATACATGGTTTATAAAATTATTTCAAGGGCAATAATTTGTATCTTAACAAATAATCATTTACAACTAAATATTTTTTGATTCCTTGAGAACAACAAGTGTGTCACGTTTGACAACAAGACATACTTGAGCGAAAGTACAAAGTTTTTTTAAATGTGCACACAATTCAATTGTTAGTTAAATCCTAAAAATATCGTACATGTATACACACATCTTATTTACATGTATAATGCCCATAATACATTAATTGTCGACGGTTTTATGATTCTCATAAAACATCATATCTTATATCAAGATTTACAGGAATTCAAAGAATAAACAAATGCATATATCTTAATAGAAAGTTATTGTACATTTTTTTTACGGATTTTCTCTACAATGCATATATACATAACTTTGCCCCATGATTGTAAGAGATCCGTATCTATGTACATTTTAAAACAGCATATTGTTATTATGTACAAATTTATATTTTACTTTGTGTTGTATCCATATAAGTAATATTCTAATTGATAGTTCAAAAATTCTTGAGCTATTGTCATGTACATGTTGCAGTCAGATCTAATACTAATGTCATAATAATTATGAACAAATAACTGGAATGTGAACATTTTTTAAAGAAAAATTATATTCATCATATTCCTTTACGTAGATTTCTTTTATAATTTATGATGAATAATTTTCTTTATATATTATTAAGTACGTTTTAATAAAAATATTTATGTTAGATTGTGACCGTTTTTTGCCACTTATTATTAATCAAATCATTAAATATTATTAAATCACCAAAATCAAAATTATATCTTAAGAAAAAAACGATAAACATGCTAAAACAACAGATTGTACATAAAACAAAATATATACATAGACACAGAAGTTTCCATAACTTTCATATTTTATGCACTACTATATAAAATCAATATTATCTGTCATAGCATTATTTTGATATATCATCTTCTTTAACTAATTTTAATTAATTCATGAGTATTTGTAAAATAAATTTTAGTTTCCATCTCACATGTCATATATTCAAAATATATCGCTATATTAGCATATATTGGCACAATAATGGCATTCATTTGTTATCACTTGTATAATCTCTTACTTATTAGGTAACATATGCAAAATTGGATTGCATTTTGCATTCCTCATATGCATATGTTAGCTATGTTATTATATAGTAGTTACAATGTACATCTAAGGCACATGATATTTCAATGTTAACAAATTATATTAGAAACTTTATAATGTCACATATCTGTTATTGGTACAAAGTTATCAATACTACAAAAAATATTTTCTCTATTATTAAACATAAAATTCAATTCATTAGTAAATTATCATCAAAAAGGATTCAATACCATGTGACCAATAAATACATACATATATATATATATGCGATGTATAAACAGGTCACAATGATAATAATAAAATGAGCATTGGTACATCAATCTAAGTACTCATTGGAATCCGTATCCAGCTTACCTGCGACTGCACTGACCGATGATGTATACACTGAACTTGCCTCATCATCTAAATCATCTTGGCTACTGAGTCGTCCTGTAATATATTGCATACAAATCATGTAGAACTTTACAAAATCATAAAATCATAAAAAAAGGCTTATAAGCATTTTTGTGTTGCAACTACAAGAACCGATAATGTGGATTATTTTACTTTAATATGGAATTAAGTACCTCTAAGTCCAAGACCTCTACCATTGGGTGTTCCTCTGTATAAAACTGTCTCTAAATAATTTAAACCATTATTGTTAATTATATTGAAACCGCAGAGTAGTTCAATCTGTTTCCAACGATGTACTCTTTCTTTCAATTCATTTGTTACTTCATTCAATGCAGTTCTTGCTTCAACTATACTTTTATCAACTTCATCGATAGACTTCCCGTGAGTCGAAACGAAGGCACCTACTAGACTGGAACGCTTTTTTCGTAATTTTTCGCACTACAATATAATAAATAAATTTTATTATCTTAATTATGTGTGACACGTTTATTCAATAGATTTATATGAAATTAAATAAATTTTTGCTTTGTAATAAGGTGTTCATCAGATAGTGCACCATATTGAGAATTAGACATTAGCACCTCTGAATTTATATTACATTCTCTTCTTCTCTGTCGAGAAAAGCTTTTATTAGAAAGTAATTTCTAATCATTAATAAATACTAATTATAAAAATAATAAAATTGCCTTGCATTATTTATAAAAAAATATAACAAAATGACAATTTAAAACAGAAGTTCAGAAGTGCTAAAATATAATTTTCAATATGACAATATCTACACATGCACATGCATACATATAATGGTACTATTTCTTATCTCAGTAGTTGAGTATGATATTCAATCAATAGATCAGTAATTTATTCCCTCCATATAATATATATATATATATATATATATATATATATCTCAAGATAATGTGATATATAGTAAATTAATTGCATGAAGTGATATAAAAAAGTTTGTTTTTTTTTACCGCTTCACGTGCTTGTTGAAGTTGTTTTTCAGCTGCTATCTTTTTATTAGTATATGCTTTGTTCTCAATTTCATGAGTCAATTGCAGCCAATGCTGCAGTCCAGCTGGTGGTGACCAGCATCTATCTTCAAGTTCACCCTCAGCACGCTGTAATTCCAACTTCAACATCTGTAAAATACATAAATTAATAGATTAATAAGAATATATTAATTTACATATATAGTATATGTATATATAAAATAAACAAAGAACGATATTAACTTCGATTTCCGCTTTCAATTGTGATACTTCAAGATCTGAATATGAAGTATGCAATCCCAAACTTTCATCTTGCAAACGTTTTTCCAAATTCTGTTTTTCAGTAGCTGCACTTTCTTGTTCCATTCTTGCTCTTTCTAGTTCTTTCTGAAATTGATTATGCAACCTTAATATTTATTTATTTCTAATTTTGTTAAGATCTCAATATATATCTTTAAAAAAATACCTGCAAATTTTCCAGCGCGAGTTCTGCTTTACGCAAACTTTCCATGTCCTTCATCATTCTATGAAGATGATTTTGTGAATTTTTCCTTTGCTGATATATGAACCAACATCCAATAAGTGCTCCAAATAATAATATAACCAGTAGCAAATCTTTGATGTTGTGTCCAGTATCTATTAATTATTACATTTTAATATAATTTTAAATCAGATATTAAATAAATGATACTAGCGATACTAGAACATAATATTAAATACTTACCTTTGGGAGGACCAAAAAGAACAACATCCATTGCTTTTAGAGCAATTTTTTGCTTGTGAATAGGATCCTTGATACCCAAAACATTGCTAAGGTAATGCATATTATTTACTGCTAATCTAAAATAAATGATTTTGTTTAAAAAAGTTTATATATTATATATTGAATACATCACATTATCTTTTATTAATTACAACAAAATTTACCGAGGAAGTGTAGCACCAGTTATACGGTGCTGTATAAATGTAGGAACATATTGAGGAAGCTCAACATTGGAAGTTAACCATTCTGATGTTTGTTCTATAGTCCAATTATGAACCTAACATATAGAAATATAATAATGTATATACACCATCATATTTCATATATATAATATATATAAATATATATATATATATATATATATATATATATATAATACTAGAAAATATCAACAAAAAATCTCAGTGTTGCTATCTACAACATAAAAATTGATATAAAAAGATGTACTTCTGATCGCAACCAGGCTTCCCAGAGTTCTCGTACGCTAATATGCATATCATCATTGTGATGGAAAGCCCTTTGTCTTCGTTCATAACCAGCTTCATACTGTAGCTCTTCTCTCAAAAACTGTCAAAGTAAGAAATATGTCTATTTTGTAAGCAGTCCGTACAAATGTAAGAGATATTTTTTTAGTAATATAAATATCTACATCATCAGATTCAGATAAATCGACATTTCCATTGGCGTCGTCATCCAATTGACTGTGGAGAGATTTTATAGCCTCTAAACCTAATCGATCGTGAGAAGCCATAGTTATACAAGCTAGGTCGTCGTTACAGGTATCTGTAGCTAAAACAAGTTAATCAGATGTTATAAGACATTCCAATTATAAATAAATAATTTTGAAATGGAGGATTCTCACCAGATTCATGAGCCACCGCTTGAGCCAGTCCATTGGTAAGGGTGGCAGAGAAGGCTGCTATTTTGGAATGTGGAGTGCTCGAGGCACTAGTTTGGAAGGTCGGAGTAGAATCGAGAGCTCCACCGCTAGCCGTTACCGTGCCAAGGGACCAGTATAATAAATAAATTCTCAGTAATAATATAAGCACGTCAACGTTCACGAATGTTTGCATCTTAGGTTAGCACCAGTTATCCCCTGACACCCTCACTGCTCTCACTGCTCTCTCTTTCTCTCTTTCTTTTTCTCTCTCTCACTCTATCTGGTCTCTCGCTTATCCCGCGTGGATCAAGCGGATTGAAACTCTCCGTCCTTACCTCCGATGCCGATTTACGCTTGTTAATATATTGCAATATACATTCAAGGTTACGATTATCAAACTCGGACCGATGATATATCTCGACGAGAGCATAACAAGCGTAACCGATTACGAGTGCAATGGCTTCATAACTGTGTCACGCGCTAATATTATTAGCTCCATAAAGGTGGCCTCTGTTAATATTCGAGTTACACGAAGACATACGAGTCAATTAAGTCAAATTAAGTACACAGTGCTTGCTATCTTGAATCAGATGTTTCCTGACGTTTTTTTATCCAAGGTTACTAATAGCGCTTCCGGAGAGAGCACGATTAAGATCAACCTTCATGAGTTCATCTGGAAAATCTCCTTTTATTTCGTACGCTTGTTATGTCTATCGAGAGCAATGGCAGAAGATCTCTTCATTTTTTCCATTAAATTTGATTCTTGTATTAATTTACTAAAATAATTTAATATCTATTGCAACGCAGATGCATTTCGATTGACAGAATAACACATGAAAATTAAGCTTAATCGCTCGTGTAAAACATCCTCTCGCATTAATATTCGAAGATTTAAAGTTAACATTCGGCCAATCAGATTAATGCCAGTCAAGTTTGATCCGATTGGTCCAATTCCGGTCTTCTATTTGCAATCCTCAATGGATACACTCGCGTCACGTCTAAATATTCGTGCATCATGATTCAAAATTGTGTCTGACATTTTAACATTTGTGTTTGATATATGTGTGAGAGATTAAATAAGTTTAGATAACGGATTAGACAATATTAAATGATACATTAGCTCACGCTAACTAGGCCCACTTTTATCTGATAAGATGAGCACGCAACTTTATCATACAATGATCGGATGATACAGCTTGAGCTCTCGCTCTAGAAAACTATGTGTTGGACATAAATAGAGCCAACGCTCGTTACTCGAATGACAATTATTTCCACGCTTTTGAAAATAAATTTTACCGAGTCGTAAAAGAGAACTACGAGGATGACGAGTGCCATACGGAGGTCGCGAGAGATTAATTTTGATATAATTTCGCTTTGAATCGAGTAGTCCAGTGTTTTGACGCGCATAGAAATGGCGGATACTATATTTATCACGCATGTCATACTCTTGTTGACACTCAGATTATGTTCAGGTATGAAGATGATAAACTGTTGCAATTGGTGTAAATACTTCTATCTTTGATAATTTATTATAGAATTGCACATCTGTGTCACTTAGTTCTGGCAAATAAACTTAATAAAGTCTCTTTATTCTCCCTCTTTATGATATATAACATCAAACTTTTTTATTTATTACATTGTACAGAGCATGTCCTTGAACTCAATACAATTTTTTTCCAATTTTTTTTACAATTATTTTTGTCACTGCGTTATGTTGAATAATTACTTGTTTTCAGTTATTTACATCTGTTTTTAAATTTTATTTGATTATATATTACATGTTATTTAATTATTAATTTTCTAGGTGAACGAGAGATTGCTTTGCAGGAACAAGATATTTCTTTTGACGATGAGAAATCGGATTCACCTGAATCTTTGGATCCAGATCTTGGTTTCAATATAAACAGTCAAAAACGTTTTAAATGTTATATGTGTGAAGATTCTGAATGTGTACAATCTAATGTCTGCATCAATGCAATCACTGTAAAAATTCTTATATTTTTCTATCTAGTTTTCTCAAATTTACATACATTCTTTTTTGTACATGCCTATCAATGCCTGGTTATAAATGAATTTTTGTTTGTTTGCTCCAAAGTGTTGGAAATCCAAAATGAGAGAAGTCAGTGGTAGAGAGTTCGTTAGCCGTGGTTGTTATAAATCAGAAGAACACAAATTAATGATGTGTAATAAAGAAAATTACCAAAATACAGATCAACATAAAAAAAGAAATGTTAGAGGGCTATCAGGTGGTGTTCAATTCTCTGTGGAATGTTGTCAAGCAGATTTTTGTAATGTTGGTCCATATCCCAAGTTGGAAGATTCAACCAGTGAGATATAATTTAAAATATTATATTAGGTGTTGGAATTAATTCGTAGCGTTTTACAAGTGATGGGAAGCACTTTCATTAATGTATTTTTTAATGCTCATGTGAAATAAATAACATTCTTTCATTAAAAACGCTACGAATTAATTCCAACACCTAATATAATTAACTTAAGTACAAAATTAATACAAAAGATTCGTATAAAATTGTGTAAAACTGAATTGCGTTAAATATAGTAAAATTTATTTAGTGATTTTTATACTTTGATATTGTTTTTAGACACTGATGAGGAATATCATGAAATAAGATTAACATTGGTGATTTTTGGATTAGTGAGCGGGATGGTCATTTTTGGAGGAATTGCACTTTGTCTATTCGCGCATCGAATAAGAAGGAAACGACCTATGTCCTCACGTCGGAATAAGCTTATTCTCGATTCCGAAATTGAACCATCTATGTTGCATTTTTCGTTTTCTTCGCCTACATCATCTGCCACTTATCATTCACATGAGCTTAGAGCAACGGCTGCTGGTGATAGTACACTTAAAGTGCGTTATTTTCTCATATTTATTATAATACATGACAAGCAATACAAGTTAATTTTAATTAGTACCAATTATTTTTATAGGAGTACTTAGATGGACGAAGTTTGACCAGTGGTTCTGGTTCTGGATTACCTTTGTTAGTACAAAGAACTTTAGCTAAGCAAGTAGCATTAGTAGAGTGTCTCGGTAGTGGTAGCAGTGGAGGATTTGGTGGAGAAGTGTGGAGAGGAGTTTGGCATGGTGAAAATGTAGCTGTAAAAATTTATTTCTCACGAGACGAAGCTGCATGGGCTCGAGAGACCGAGGTTTACTCTCAACTATTACCATCCAGACATGACAATATTCTAGGATATATTGGTAGTGATATGACCAGTAGAGCCAGTTGCACTCAACTCTGGTTGGTGGTGCAATATCATCCTCTCGGTTCGCTCTTTGATCATCTTAATCGGTCGCCACATCCATTGACGCCTCATCAAACGCTCAATATTTGTTTGAGTATTGCAAACGGTTTACTTTATCTGCACACGGAGATCCATGGAACCAAAGGAAAGCCAGCTATGGCTCATCGTAATCTTAAATCGAAGAATATCCTTGTCAAAACTAATGGTGGTTGTGTAATTGCCGATTTCGCATTAGCAGCTACTCAGGATCGTCTCGTAGCAGACAGAGTTGATTTACGACAAGGCACAAAACGTTACATGAGTCCTGAAATTCTTGAGCAAACGTAAGTTAATTGCTTTCTTTACATTGGAATAAGTTGGCTGAATCTCAATGGTATTCATTTCACATTTCCAGGGTAAACGTCGAATGTTTAGAGAGCTTTAAACGAGCTGATATCTACAGTTTAGGATTGATACTATGGGAAGTCTGTCGCAGATGCATAAGTAACGGTGTAGCCTTAGAATACGCAATGCCATACAGTGAATGGTTACCAAGCAGTAATCAAGAACCCTCTATAGAAGAAATGCGTAAATTGGTTTCATTTGACCAGAGAAGGCCGTCTCTTCCTAATAGGTCACATTCTGATCCGGTAAATTTTTTCATTATTATATTTACAGAATATATTTTATCAGAATGGAACAATTAAAACAATTAGATCAAGTTGAATTTGTCACTTATTACATTAGCACAAATAATGGAGTTGAATACTACTTTTACAGACATTGGCTGGAATGGGAAAATTAATGCGAGAATGTTGGCATGGAAAACCAGCGGCCAGACTACCCATACTTAGGGTAAAGAAGACACTCGTTAAATTAGCAGCTAGTGATTCACGTGTTCATTTACCCCTTGACTGACCAGCGTTTATCTTACCTCTCTTTCATTCATCTATTTATTACTGCAATTGCTGCACCAATTGTCATATATGTATATCTATATATATGTACGTACATATATATATATACATATGTATGTATATATGTATGTATGAATGCATGCATATATATATGTATGTTTGATCATCATCAACATTCGTGCGTTATCAGATCATTATATCATAAAGATAAAAAATATCGTATATTGACATATCCAAATAACGACGGTAATAAGTTTGTTAATGTTTGGCATATGAATTTATTGCTTTATGTTCCACATTATTGTTATCTCATTCTGGAACATATTCTGGAACAATAATAGCATTAAGTATAATTTCATAACGTTGATCAAAGAATATTATTGATTCAATGGACAAGAAATTAGATGTCCCGATTATTCAAAATTATTCGTTAAAAAAATAATTACTATAAAGAGAATGTAAACTTTTTCATAATTTACTAGATTAAATGAAATAATGTAGATGAAGATTAATTTAGTGATTGATATTTCATTTAATGTAACAGACGTTATCATTATAACATTAAGAAATTATTACATCATTTTAAACATTTTTCTACGGCTCGGTTTGGTTTAGCTAATATACAGATTTGTATGTACAAAAATATTAATAATCGTCTCGGTAATATCATATACACGCGCGCGCGCCCACACACACACACACACACACACACAGAAATATATTATTTCCAGTAAATTCCTTTTAAAAATTGTAAAAATTAAAACATTTGTTTCAAGATTTTTTAAGTATCAGTACTATTATCGAAAGCTTGAACAAATATAATCAAAAGATATTTGTAAATAATGTATCTCTAATAGAATTATATAAGTATCACAAATCGTTCTTATCTTAAAATCATTGTTACATCAGTGAATTACAGACAGAAATTGATGACAATGAATGAAAAGTGTATAAGATTATCATAAAGATATATGACTGTACAATACTTGAAATATAATTTTATCAATTGCTTTTTTATTCAATGTTTATGTATAGTTATAATTATGTATAAAAATAATTGCTCGAGGCACTATTAAAGAACATATGAGGAGCTTATAGTACAGCATATAGTATAATCAGGTGTAATGCAATTGTACAAAGATTTGTGTCTGACAAATACTGTATATTGACTTAACACAAATATGCCAATATAATGTAACAGACTACCTTGAATTATCATCTTCTAGAGGTAATAACAATAACTTTTCTAATAAAATGCTGTTATTTGAACTGTGACTACCAATACACTGACTGAAAAATTGATGGAGATGTAATGGATCATTCGTATGCAATAAAATTATAAATGCGTATCTCCATATTAAAGGTTCCAATTCAATAGGACATTCGAGAAGTCTAGGAAATAAATTTAATGCATGCTTCCAATCTTGACGGGCGATATAAGATTGCATCTCTAACAATGCTAAATTCTTTGAAAATCCTACAAGTGCTGTCCTACTTCTCTTACTACCTTGAAATCTCTTACAATAACAAGTAACTTTACAATTATTTGTGACTTCTTCCACATTTCTTCTTTTTCTTTCCGTATTATGTTTCATTACAAGTTGTCTAGCCTTAGCCTAAAAAACAACAAAAGCTCTCAATATATTTAGAACTATATAATTTATAATATTATTGTCTGTTATGTGTGTCATAGCTCTATAATAAATTACATACCACATTAGATTTTGTAATTTTTCGGACTGAATCTTGCGACATAGTTTCACTTGTAGATGTTATTGCTTTTTTTTCTTTTTTCTCAAAATTGATATTTCTGCATAAAAATTTGTAAATAATAAATAATTTATAATTGCAAACTTAAATAATGCATATATAAACAATACTTTTAGGTTAAATAAGGTTATATTAAAAATTACCTATATATTTCTCTCTGTCTCTCTCTCTCTTTCTCTTATATTATTATATATATTAGGCAAATAGAAATTTATATTTTTAACAAGTTCAAAATAAATTTTATAAATTTTACAGTTCAAGGAAAAACTGTATGAGGACTAATCATAACATAACTAATAACCGACAGGAGATTCAGTTAGGGACTCCGTACAATAAAAGGAACAGGGAACAGAGAACAGAAAATAAGAATTTTAACCTATCAGAAATCATGTATTATGGAATACACAGTTTCTGATAGGTTGAAATTCTTATTCTCTGTTTCCTGTTCCTTTTATTGTGCGGAGCCCCTTACACTCAATGGGTGCATTCAGTGCTACAATCGCTCAGGCGCTCATTGAAAGATAGTAATTAATTAAAAGAATTGTTGTTCAATACTTTTAATGCTCCAAATGAGTAATTAATTACTGTCTTTTAATAATAAATTGACTGATATAAAATTTCTATAAGAAAAGATATATATGCTAGATCAGAACGCTGGAAATCCCAAGTTCAAATTCTACTTTTTTTCTTCTTTTTCATATATTGGGTCATCTAAAAAGTATCCGCGGTTTTTGTCACTAGATGTGTGTTGATGGTCATATATCTAGTGACAAAGTACCGCGGATACTTTTTAGAGGACCCAATATAACAAAAACATACTAGAAAAAAAAGGGCAATACAGAATTCGTGCGATATCTATCAATGTACTCATGATATAAGGTGTATACCAGTAGCGAGACTAGAGATTCTTCTCCTTTAGATTCTCTAAACGTCTTATCGATAATTAATGTCATTATCGTTAACTAGCGAGAGCCAATGACAGGACAATCCTGGAAGAAATCGCGGTTCTCATTGGCTGTCGCTAGTTAACGATGATTGTCGATAAATCATTTAGAGAATCTCACAACAGGTTTCCCGAGAATGCGTAGTAGGAGAGTGAATTTGAGGCCAAAATTTTATTGGCCATTCCAATATGCCAGAGTTATTAAACGCAGGAAAGTGCATAGAGGCCAAAATTTGATTGGTTATTTCCAGTATTGCTATCGCCATTATACGTAATGGTATACCTTGTATTCTTACATCATGAGTGTACTATTCACATACTTTTGTTTATTTACTCTACACTCTGATTAATTGCTTTTGACGTTTAAAATGCGATACATAATCCATACGATGAATCATGGTGGATATAAGGTGAAGCGCTTCCGTGGATGCGCAGTAAGAGAATAAATTTGAGTAATATTTGATTGGTTATTCCAGTATAACCAGGTTATTATACGTCAGAAAGTGCATATTTGAGACACATTTGATTGGTTATTTTCAATATTGCTATCGCCATTATGTGCAACGCTTCACCTTATATCATTCCACCATGCGATGAACACTCTTGCGTTTTTGTGTATTGTCAATAATTTTTGTGTATATTCAACAGTTGAGTGAGTGCTCGCTATTGATCCAGATCTAAAATGCTGATTGATTGAAATGATGATCTAAAAGAATATACTATAACAACGAGCGCTCACTCAACTATTTAGTCCGCTGAACGCAGCCATTGGGTGCATTCAGTCTATAACCGCCAGGTTATCATCCACAGCGGAACGGAACAGCGAGACCAATCATAATCGCAGAAAAAAAAACAGAGTAATGATTGCAGAGTTGTAATTGGCTGTAAATTTCCGCTCATGGGACGGCGGCTTCACTGAGCGTTCATGCGTTCAGACTGCTCTTGCATCTGATTGGCATATTCTGTTAGAACTAAAAATATGGATCAAACAAATACAAGAGCTCTGGTACTGAGCGATGGTAATGCTAAATACACTCATTGGCTGTGTTCAACCGATTCAACAGTCGAGTAAGCGCTCGCTGCTATTGGTGTATTATTTTAACATCCAATCAACATCTTAGATCTGGAAGAAATCATCAATCAACAATCATAAACAATCAACTGTTGAATCCGCTGAACGCTGCCATTCTCGATCGACTTGTCGATGCGATGTTATTGGCTGTGGTCAAAGTTTCGATACAAATGCTTTGAAGCGTTTGATGGACCAATTAGAAAGAATTTTACAAACTGACCAATTAAAAAACGCTTCAAAGCGTTTGCAACATCGCGTTGATCATAACTATTATCAAATCTCTCTCTCCCCCCTCTCTCTCTCTCTCTCATCCCTCCCACCCTTCTCTCAACGAATAAATATATAGGGAGAATAAATATTGTATATTGGAACGAATGTTTGATAACGTTACTTCATTTTTGTTTTTAAAAAATTTGACAATTATTCACAGAAATTTAAAAGACAGTAATCTTTCGAAAGAGATTTACGATTTGAAACTTTTTTAATTTAAATTTCGAATTTTAACAAAATTACAGCTGTTTGAATTTTGAAGTTCGTGCTACAAATTTTTTATTGAATCTATTACATTTTCTTGTATTAAATCACTTCAAATGCAAAAAATTTTAATGTAAATAACAAGGTTTATGCATACAAGTAGTAGTACTTTTTTGGTACTTTTATTATAATACAAAATCACAGGTTTCATTATATACACATATATACATTTACATCATTTTCTGAAGTAAAGAAAGTAAAGTTTGGCATCTCTCTTTTACCTACAATAAAGAATATCTTTATATATATATGTGTGTGTATGTGTAAAAGTATAAAGGATGTCCCAAAATTCGTGTATTCGAAATACAGAGCATGATATTTTATGCTAAACCACTTTTTCCTTTTGCAAAATTGCATCTAACAAGCAGGAGAGTAGGTTAACAAATTTACAAATAAGCGCAAAAATTATTTATCGGACGCAATTTTGCTAAAGCAAAAAGTTGTTTGTTTTAGCAGTTGTTTTAAAGTATCATATTTTATACTCCAAATGCGCAAATTTTGGGACACACTCTGTATATACATATATTAAAAATAAATAGAATATTACTTGATCAACAGTACGATTTTCTAATTTTTCACTAATCAGTAGGAATGAATTTTCAGAATATTCCTTTTTGATATTTTGTAGCAAAATCATATCTTCCTGACGTGTCCATGGTTTATCATTAGTTAAATCGGATTTCGATGATATATTATTTTCCGTTGTAAGCACTGTTTCTATATTTTTTTCTATTAAACATAAAAATTATACAAAATTAAAGAAGGTACATTATTTGAGTGTTATATCATAATTGTTATTATTCAAATTTTAAGAATATAATTCATAGATAAGACTTACTTGAATTAATATTATTACTTATATTTGAAGAAATTTGTGTTTTTGCAATTACTTCAGTACTTGACAAATTATCTTGCATTGATAATTGTGTACAGGAATTATTTTCAGTTTCCATAAATTCACTTGTTTTTTCATATCTTATAATATCAGGTTCATTTTGCTCTAATGAAACATCACTTTCTTCAATCTTTTTTTCTCGTTTATTCTTGCACTGAGATATGCGCATTCTTTTCTCTGCAATTGCGTGATCTACAATCCCTATTCTTTTTAAAATTTTTCTTTGATCTGTTTTGAGTGTAAATTTGACATTTCTTTTTGACTTTGTTATTGCCTTTTCGTTATCTTCATTATCTTTTATTGACGAGTATTTTGTAGCGCACTGTTTTTTACAAAGATCTTCGTGATTAGAATTATTTTTTGATGACTTCCGTCGTTTTTTAGAAGAAATTGATGGAATAGCTTTATCAGCAATTTTTAATGATATTCGTGCAATATTTTCTAATTTCTCCCGATCCTCTCCGGCAAATGTAATTTTTGCAGGTCGTAATCCTTCAGGTGTTTGAAGATAAATTCTTCCATTAAGAAACTTAAAAGAAGAGAAACAAATAGAATGAATATCCGTATTAAGGGAAACAAATGTAAAAGTTATGTATTTAATATTGTTATATATGATGCATACTCGTATACCACAGGAAACACAATGTTCAGAATTATTTTTCGAACTTGCTTCATCAATATTATGACAATCACATTTACAATTCTCCCCACCATATGGATCCTCCTGATATGTTGCTGTTGGTAATTCTATATTTTCATATAACTCTGATGCATTTTCCATGTAAGTTGTATTTTTATCATAAGGTCCTAATGGACATGTCATATTTTCAAACATATGAGGTGCAAACAAACTAAAAATATCAAATACAATTCAAACATAATTTATAAATGATATAAAAATATTATGATAAGAAATTGTACAATGTAACTTATATGAATTAATTCTTAATTATATATCACTCAGAGATTTTTTTTATTTATTACATGTTGCAAAATAAAGTCTAAACGATTTAAATTATATGATTTTTTTCTTGTTTTACACATTAAATTTGGCCTAAAGTATTAATTAAGAATTATTCAATTAAGAATCACCGTATATAATTCATGCACATTTACTTTTCATTTATATAAAAAAATTATTACCTTTCGGGAGGTTTTGCGGTAGGTAGGATTTGTAAGAACAAATCCATAACGAGTGGATGACCTTTAAAAACAGTATTCATAACGGCATAGACATTTTCTAAAGTTGTGCATGGATCAGATGAAAGTTGTGTAATTGCCTGCATCATCTTTGCTATCCGTGATGGTTGCTTAGCAAAATATATTTGAGCGACATGAACAAAATCGTTCATTTTTTGTAACATCATATATTCGGCAGATTTACCAATTATTGCAGCTTGATGTGGTTTTAAAAATAATACAAAGTCCGTACATACTTCTGGATAATTTTGTAATTTTTTACAAATTTCTTGATATAATTGAATTGTTAGTATATCTTTTTTAATTGCATTATCTTCTATCTGTTTATTTGTTGGAAAGTCCTCAGATCCATCAGTTATTGATGGATCAGTAACTGTATGGTTAATACTGTCTAATTTTTCACTATAATCCAAAAATAACTTTATCACAGCCTTAAACGTTTCTGGATCATTGGATTCTAATATCAAGTGTAGTTTCTGAAGATATGACGCTGCAAATTCTATATAAAAGAAGAATATAAATATAAATTATATATAAAATTCTATATAAATTAAAAATAAATTTGATATATTTTATAATACAATCACTTCATTAACTTACTTGCTTCACGTTCTTCTTCAGTCAACGGATTTTCAGCTTTTAATAATCTTTTAATAATTTCTAATTCTCTAGTTTGTTTAGCCTTTTTTCTACTTACCGGATCTTTTATTATTGTACTACTGGCTAACATTAATTCTGCTATTTCTTCTTCATTATCCTAAGTGAAAAAATGTATTAGGTATTGGAATTAATTCGTAGCGTTTTACAAGTGATGGGAAGTACTTTCATTAATGTATTTTTTAATGCTCATGTGAAATAAATAACATTCTTTCATTAAAAAACGCTACGAATTAATTCCAACACCTAATATTTGGATAAATATGTTACTCAACATTTTTTTAATGTAAAAGATAGAACTCACAACTTTTGACGTGGAACAATGTTCATCAATATTCTTATCTGCGGCATCCTTTTCTTTAGATTTCAAGGTACTACAATTGAACGAGTTTTTTGAACCTAAAGCTTGTGCCATCAATTTCATATTTTGGGCACTTTTTGTTTTTGCTAATCGTGGAGTGGTCTTTCGTATTTGTGGTAATTCTGGTGATATTTGTGGAGACTCCTTGGACATTTTTGAACTTCTAGTTAATACAGTATTTAATTTTATATTATTTTTATCTAATGATTTATCTGTTTGTATTGGCTCTACATCTGAAATATTTGCTTTTGAGGGGCAAGAATTTGTATGCCCTTTATGTACCGCCGTTTTTCTTTTATGTATTTCCGTATTTTGTGTACTATTATCAACTATTTTTTTATCTTCGCCGCTATCGAATTTGCAACTTTTTTTAGTAGAATTATCTATTTTAGACGAAGCTTTGGGATTTAAAGTTGCAGGTAATATCTTTGGTAACATATTTACAACTGGATTTCGTAAAAGATGGTTATTAGGGATACTAGGATATGATTTCATTATTGCGTTCATATTAATCCCTTCTTTAGCAAGAGAAAGATTACTGTACGAGTCAAATATGTATCTACTTTTTGTCAAATCATTTTTATGTTCTTTCTGCTGTAATAATAAATAAGAAATTAATATTTATAATAATTAAATATTAACAGATTGAGGCAGGTTAAGTTGCAGATATGTTACATGTATAATTTAACGTGTAAATAAAACATAAATTACTGCTTTCTTCTATTAAATATAAATATAATGTAATTGTTATACTTACAAGATATGTTTGCCATTTTAGAGGTAAAAGTTCTATTGATTGATCCTTTGGAGCTTTCAGTGGAAATTCAGATGTTACATAATGTACTATTTTAGGAGCGCAACCTTTTTCAAAATAATACTGTAATAAATTTTATTTAATTGTATTTATGATATAAATCTCAAAAATATTCACAATATACAAATATTAATACCTTGATTGGATTTTCATCCTTAGAACAACGTCTTTTATAAATATGATGCAATATTCCTTGTGCATCTCTACATGGTAATAGATAATGGCTAATAAGTTGAACTGCGTCGAACAACTGCATTTTCTTTGTATGAAATTTTTTTGATTTAGAAGAAACAAATGGCAAAAACTGTTCTATGCCTAGTGCAATTAAACTGGAAATGCAATATACTGAAATAAGATAAAATAAAATGTTTTAACACATAAATTTGAATATACTTACATTTCCTCCGCTTTTGAATATACAGGTTTCTTGTATTTAACTCCATTTCTGAAAGGTATCGACGGTAGAAGATGTGGATACATAAGAGCCTTACTTTCAACAAATAATTTCTCTAATTCAGGGAGAAATTGTTCGATATATTTATATTTATTTACACAATACATTTTAGTTTTAGCAGTTTCATTAGTTACATTTTTTTTGAAGTTTGCATAAAACTTTATGTCATTAAACTTATTTTCCCAAGTTGATATCAATTTTAAAGCTGCTTCCAAATTTTTTATATTAAATGCAGATTTCGGTCCATTGCTCAAATATCTAATAAGTATGATATTTTTTAATGAGAATTTATGATTTGATTGGTTTACTGTATCTCTGATATCATATTATATAATCATACCTTAAACTATTCAAGTTCTGTTTACATACTTTTGCCAATAAATGATATTCTGGATGCATGTAAGTCATAACAAAATGCTGTGCCATTAGTTGTACGTGTTGTTGGAATTGTGTTGCTAATAGAAGACGTTCATAATCCATCAATTTTGGCATTTCAGATTCTGCAAGTACTGGTAAAAGATGTACTACAGAGGAATTCTGAAAGCATAAAAAGAGCAAGTATAAATTATTATTAGTTTTTATTGAACTATATTACATTTGCATAAATTTACATTTATGTTCAAATGTGATATAATTTTTCTTACCATAGCATCATTCTCAATTGGTGGTGTCGTATTATCTAGAACTTTCTTTTTTCTTGATACTTCTTGTTCTTGTGTTGAGAACATAGGAGTTAATTCAAGTAATTCTGCAATCAAATCATATTGCTCCTTACGAGGAACTTCTACTGCTCTATCTGTTCTAAGCTCTTCCTTGTCCCCTAATATTTATTAAAGTTGAATATAATTTTTATGTGCAAAATATATCAAGAAAGTGAAATATAATATAGATATAAATATTATATCATTTTTTTGAGAATGCATACATAAATCTGTTTCATCCTCCAAGATATTGTATTCTGGATCTGCGTCTGGATCATCTTCTACAGCTGGTTCTTGCGTCAAAGGTTGCGTAAATTCTTTTAAGAAGTTATCCCAATCTTCATCAAGTTCACAATCCCAATCGTCAGTCATATCAGCAGTTATATCAGGTGGTATAAATGCTTGCTCTATTTCCTCCAAAGAAGTTTCGCTTAAAGATAACTTGGAGCGCGTTCTTTGGCCAATACTCTCTTCTTCTGTTGTAATAGGCGGGACACTTAAAAATAATATTTATTAATTATTATGAAATAAATTAATGATATTTTAAGATATCTTATACAAGCAAAAAATGTTAAAAGCTCTTACAATACAATCAAATATAATAAAGATAGATATTTTTCACACATACGCAGGTATTTTGAAAATTCCTTCAGAATCATATAGTATATGCGATGACATTTGTTGTTGAGAAGAAGCTATATTCTTACTATTTGTTGATAGTGATAATTGTGACTCAATATCACTATTTCCTGTAATTTCTATTTCTCTATCATCATCACTCTGTTTATCATGTTCAGGATTATATTCTTCATCAGATGAATCTTCTGGTAGCTCCTCCTGAATTAAAGCTTGTACTTCAGAGGAAGTTTTTTGTGCTGTAGTAATAGGCCATAGTATATCGACTTTGGCAGCTGCTAATTTTCTATAAAAAATAAACCAAAAGTTATGCAAATAATCATTATTACACATATAAAGAAAAAAATTCAAATTACATCTAAAAGATACATACAATCTACATGACACATACTTAGCTTTAGCTCGTGTGAGTTTAGGACCAATATTAATATCATTTTCAGTATCTTGAAGCCATTTTTGTACCATTGTCATTAAATGTTCGTAGGGGATTACGTGTTTCAAAATGTTTTTGACATTAGTGGCAGTTAAATTAGTTTTGGCAGCTTTAGCATCAAGTTGTCTCTCAATCTCTTCTTCCATTTCATTAAGTACCGATGCTTCTTCAACAGCTTCTCTCTTATGTTTACTAGACGGTTCATAATTATCCACTTCGGATATGTCGATTTGTAAGTCTGCATTTTCGGAATCAGTTGAGTTTTCACTATTAACGTCGTTAAAGTCAAAGTTAATTGAAAAAGAGAGATTGCATTTCTTGGGTGATTCGATAAAGGAAACCGAGGATGTCAATACATCAGAGTCATTTTGCACAGGCTTATTTGTTGATTCTTCCATTTTAATGAAAATAACTTGTATTAAATTTACAGTTAATTATAAATACCGACTTTATTTTTATGAAAAACGTTACTATTTCAATTGTGCAACAACAAGCAATCTTCTTAACCATTTCCGGCTCTTGTCAGAGTTGTCATTAAGGTATATTTTCACGAGCTGTTCAAACTGGCCATTTCAGCGACAAAAAAGATCACATGATGATTTCTGTCGCAAAACTGAAAGTTCAGATCTACAAGTTAAAAAGTTTTAAGTCTTAAGTCGTAAGAAATTGATCAATTACAAAATCTATTAAAAATAAAATCTATTATAGACAAAATCTATTATAAATTTTATATATATCTATTATAGATTTTAATCTATTTTAGATTTTAATCTATCTAGATTTTATCTGTCTAGATTTTATTCTATCCAGATTTTAATCTATTATAGATTTTATATGCTGATTCTACAATGAGTCGGTTGACAGTCCTAAGTCTTATCAGTGAAATTGACCAATAGCCAACTTATACAACCGACATTGATTGGCCAACGATCTTCATCGATTGAGACTAAAGGTCACAGCACAGATCTTGCATAATGCATAGTGCATAAATGAATCAACTAATCAGAATCTTTCCTTTCCTCCCATTCCATGGAAAAAAAGAATTTCGATTGGTTGATTCCCTTATGCATTACGCGACTATACAAGTTTATGTGGAATGACTCTAAGACTTCCGACTACAGACTTATTGTAGAATCAGCAATAGAAATCTATTATAGATATAAAAATCTATTGTAGATCCGGAGTAAACAACAAGGATAAAACGATATATGGAAGCACTTAGGTAATGTTCCCGAACGTAATCTCAATATTAAACAAGGGTAAGCAAAGATAAAGTTGGATGAAATTTCTGAACACAGCCCAGACTAATTTGATGTCATGGTGTATTTTGTATATACACGACTGTATAAGGTTATGTCTTATATCTCGTGCGAATTTTTAAATTGTGTTGGGGACACTTCTTTATTAGCTTTAATATGTGACAAGATTTGAAGATTACTTGTCTTAGCCTCGAAGATTACTTATCACATAGCTTCGAACGACGATAAAAATGAAGCTGGTCAAGCCAAATTGGGTTACTCATGATGGTTTGTGATATTTTCTGCTATTGCATGATATCTCAAAAAGTTATAATTTTAATGAATGATTTAATGTTTATTTTTTTGTCAGGATATCCAATATTTTCTATTGATATACATCCTAATGGAAAAAGGTTTGCTACTGGTGGTCAAGGTATATTTATTGTTTGTATATCTTCAATAAAGATATATTAAATTGGAGTAACATTTTTTTTTTAGAAATGTTAATAAAATACCAGTAATGTTTAAAATTTTATTTTTGTACTTATTATTGTTATATTTGAATTAGGTGGTGATTCAGGAAGAGTTGTTATATGGAATATGGAACCGGTAGTTAATGAGACTGTTGAATTAGACTCTAATGTTCCAAAGATGCTGTGCCAATTAGACAATCATCTTGGTAATTTAATTAATTAATTTTGTTTGTTATCAACTCATTGATATAAAAAAATTTTTTTTTAACTTTATTTAGCATGTGTGAATTGCGTACGATGGAGCAATAGTGGATTGTTGGCATCAGGTGGTGTAGATAAACTTATTATGATTTGGAGATTATCTGGATCAGGAGGAAGCTCTATTTTTGGTGGAAAAGCTAGTGTCGAAACTTGGAGATGTATTGCAACGTTACGCTCACACGAAGCTGATGTACTTGATCTTGCATGGGCACCGCATAGTCCATGGTTGGCTTCTGCCTCAGTGGATAACAGTGTTATAGTATGGGATGCATCCAAGTTTCCTGCAGTAGTTGCAGTATTAAAAGGTCATACAGGTTTTGTGAAAGGAATTACTTGGGATCCTGTGGGGAAATATTTAGCATCTCAGTCTGATGACAAAACATTGAGGGTATGGCATACTACGGATTGGACGGAAGCAGCTTTAATATCTGAGCCGTTCGACGAATGTGGTGGCACAACTCATGTTCTAAGACTTTCCTGGAGTCCAGATGGTCAGTATTTAGTATCTGCCCATGCTATGAATGGAGGAGGACCTACAGCTCAAATAATTGAAAGAGATGGATGGACACAGGATAAAGATTTTGTTGGGCATAGAAAGGCAGTAACTTGTGTTGTAAGCATTGGACATATTTCTTTTTATTTTTTTTTCTTTTTTCTTTTTTTTCTAATATTAAGAAGACTTTTAATTGAAAATTATTGTATTGAACACCTGTGCAATATTTTAGAGATTTAATGGCAATATTCTACAGAAGAAACAACCAGGTTCCTCTAAGCCACAACAGTATTGCTGTGTTGCAATAGGATCACGAGATCGTTCTCTATCTGTGTGGTTAACATCCTTAAAAAGACCTTTGGTCGTAATTCACGAGTTATTTACACATTCTGTATTAGATGCTAGTTGGTCGCCATGTGGTCTTCGTCTTGCCGCATGTTCTTGGGATGGAACAGCTGTATTTATTGAATTTACTCAACAGGAATTAGGACAACCTCTTGATCCTATTTGCATGATGTAAATATACATACACATATATGTATGATTTGTGATGCGCGCGCGCGCGCGCGTGTGTGTGTGTACGCTATGTATGCAACTTATTGCCTTCGTATATCTACAAAACCAAAATTATTTTTGGTTTATAGAGTAGTCTACATGAACGATTGTATGGTAAACCATTGGTTCAAGGAGGTTGTATGGTGATGGAAGCACCAGAACTTCTCAATTTGAAACAACCGGCATCGAATCAATCTTTTCAAGTATCATCCGCTCCTAGTATTCCCCCTGTCACTAACACTGTGACTACTCCAGTTAAGGGACCTATTAATAAACAAATTGAAACGAGGACTTCAGATGGGAAAAGAAGAATTACTCCTATGTTTATTCCACCGCCAGCAGATACAACGTAAATTAAAATATATAAACTTTCTATTTATATATTTATGTCTGGATTTGATATTAAATCTTGTAACTTTTTTTTTATCAATTTTCAGAGATACAAATATCAGTGGTAGTTTAGGTACACCGACGTTCACTAGTAAAGTACAAACGAAAAGCTCGATTGTGATAGAAAAACGTAACGATGTTGTTGCACCCAATGTTACTTCGTCGTCCAAATCAGTTGCTGCCGACGCCCCAGAATCCTCTCTTACATTGAAACGCAAAGAACAAACAACACCAAAGATACATCATTCGTCGCCGAATAAAAAGCCTAAATTCATATCTGATAGGAGCGTAGGTCAGATGTTACTACCTCCATTGAAGCCGTCCAGTTCATTATCCCAACAGGCGGGTCATTATGCTGTGACTGTCACTAATAGTCATGGCTTGGCTCATTTGCAAGTATTTAAAGGTACAGATTCTGAACCGACATGGGATCTCTATTTAGGATATAGTGCTGTGGCATTAGCGGCATCACCGGCTGTGATAGCCTTGGGTTTGGAAGATGGGAGTCTTCATACATTTCATCCTGCAAAAGGATGCCGATCAGCACCACCATTAGCGCCACCGGCACCTTTGGCGAAGGTTCATGCTGTTGGAAACGCGGTAACTTGTTCATCGATTTAATGCATCATGTGTGTTTATAATATTTGTTTATAATTATAAAAAAAATGTAATAGGTGATGGTAATATCGAGCTGTGGTGCGGTTCGCGTATGGGAAATAGGAAATACATGCAGAATGATCGTTTCAACTTCGGCTGCTCATTTAGCAGCGCCTGGAGCGTCTCTGTTGTCATGCACTTTATATAATGGAATGCCTCATGTAGCATTTACTAATGCACGAGCGTATATGTATCATAAGGATATGGGTATAGCAAAAGCTTGTCATTTTTCATTTTTCATTTATATATGATTATATAACAATTATATACATACATCGTATACAGGGACATGGCTGTTAATTGGAGACAGTCAGGACCCAGTTTGGCGATGGTCATCATTCAATGTGCTGAGTACTTCTGGCAATAGGACGCCTAGAGGACCTCTATCATCATTACAGGAAGGACTACTTAGAACCTCCGGGAATATTTTACCAAATCCGCGATTACCGCATAGTGCACCAAGCGTGGTTTCCTATTTGGAACAGCAATTACTTGCATCTAAAGCTCTTGGAAGTGCTCAAGAGTACATTCATTGGCTTATGGCTTTGGTGTCATTCTTATTAACGCAAGGTACGCCATGTAATTTATATTTTATTCTCGTGTATTTTTTATAATATGAAACATGGATTTCCGAAATGGATTACTATTCACCTCATACCTTTTCATTAACAATCTTAAATTCTTCTCATCAATCTTGTAAATAAAATTGAGGCATACATAGATAAGACTCGATATTGAATTTGAGATTCATTGAGTCGACTGCTCTCATAAGTAATGCATTGTTCTTTTTCTAATATTTCTTAGACGGTTTGGAGAAACGTCTAAGACTAATTTTGGACGATCTTTTGGGTCCAAGTCATACGTCAGCTTCCAAAAGTGCATGGGATCCTGTTATTTTGGTAATACTACTTATATTCGTCATCAATTTTATTATTTTTAATTAATTTGATTGTATAATATTTATTTTTCATGTCAAATATCAAATAGGGAATAAAGAAACATAAACTTCTGGGTGATGTACTGGCTGTAATTGGTGGTCATCTTCGTTGGCAAAGATTATACCTCGAGTATTCGGAGCAATTAACGACACTGAAGAATCAAACTAATTAATGTAATTTATTCAACAGTGCAAATTCATTATACCAAAAGCAAGTAATCTTTTCTTATGAATATCTTGTATATTTCTAAAGATATCTGTATGGATATATAGTAAGATTGTACAGTTTTTATAACATTTACGCTTGACACAAATGTATGATAAGTAAACAATTTTTGGTATATTAGCATTTATCATGAAAAAAGAAAATTATTTGATTTCCCTCGTCGATAATACTATTTAACGGGTGAGTTACTTCAAAAAAGTAATATGGATGCAGATAATGATTATAGATTACAGATAAATTCATAATATATCGATAGATAAAAATCTGTTTTAAATTTTCTTTCTATAAACTATTCGTTTTATCATAACATATAATTTTAAAAATCAAAAACTAATTTTTACGAGTTTATATTAGGTGTTGGAATTAATTCGTAGCGTTTTTAATGAAAGAATGTTATTTATTTCACATGAGCATTAAAAAATACATTAATGAAAGTACTTCCCATCACTTGTAAAACGCTACGAATTAATTCCAACACCTAATAATTATTGAAGTGAGTAAAATTAAATGTAATGGATAGGATAATTAAGATTATTTCAAATAAATTACTAGATTATTTCATAATCAACTTATATTTATTGTTTAATCTTAGAGTATTCAAGTGCAATTTACACTTTATACAAGCAATAAATTATATTAAGTAATCAATTATCACAACTAGCATTTGCTCTGCTGATTATTACATATATATATTACATAAAATCTTTGCAACGTACATTAGCAAAACATTTGAGTGATTAATTTTATTCAGGCTATTGAAGAAAGAGGAAAAATCATTTGTGTTCCAATTCTTAATTTATATTTTCTAAATCGCAAAATTATTCGATGCAAAACATAACAGTGTATCAATGATCTTAATTTTTGACATATAACTGACAAAATTATTTTAATATTTGAAGTTGGATGTACATATGCGAATGAACAACGAATACTAAATTAGACATTTTACTGCTAAAACTTAGAAATACATATTGTAACAAATAGAATATTACAACATTCAATTTGCTTATAAAAATTAATCCAGATTAGATAGAGTCCAAACACAAACACGAATATACGTTCCATTTCTTATCAATAAATTAAAAGGAAAACACGTTATACTCATTTTTTATTGTTGATCCTTATTAGTTTCGTATGGATCCATTAATATGTGATATCTTCTATATACTCATATCACACATAAAATGCTTTAATTAACATTTAAAAAGTTTATGAATATACGGAAGATTCACTATTATTTTTTCCACTTTTAAGTTCTTCGTAATCACATATAGGGCAAAATGAGTTCAACATTTTAATTGCCATATTCACAGTTTTTGTTCTTTAAAATCACAAAATTTACTGAACAAACTTTAAACTTTGTAGAATGGAAATGCAATGTCTTTTTAAAGAGTTTTTAATTTTAATATTAAAAAAAATCGCAGATTGACGTCCAAAGAATAATATACGGCCGAAAGCACAAAAAAGGTATTTTAAACTTCGGATAAATGGCAGTTTAAGTTCTGTTTTAAAAAAAGACCTTAAAAACATAAAGCTTTACACTTTTTGGAGGTATCCCAGTATCCTCAGTGACTACAAAGGGTTAAATTAGTGATTATAATAAAAAAACATCATCGGACATTTTATTGTAGTTGCATTGCACGTGCAGAAAATATCAAATTTATCTAAATATTTATTACAAACATGAAAAGAATCAGCACAGGAAATGAAATATTCAAATTGTTCATTTAATGTACATCCACTATAATGATTGATTTGTACACAAAAGCTGTGTATAATCAAATCTTTGTTTAAATCGATTACTTGTCCGCAGACTTTCTATCTTTAATTATTATTTTCTGTGTGATACAAAGATGACAAAATGTCCTCATAGTGTTGCATGTTTGTCTCAAATGTTTCCAATTGTTTAGTGAGATCTCCCAATTGTTCCGCAAGTGTTCTTTCTTCCATAAAGGCTTGCAATTGTGGAGCGCTTTGACACTCTCGATAAAACGCTCCTACATCGCTATTGGTATTCGTGACAGCAAATGGAGTTTTCTGTAACAATATTTGAAATTTGTTTCGTACACAAATGCAGTATAAAATTTGCCCAAGTTATGAGAATAAAAATAGCTTTCCTTATTTAAACAAAATATATATAAAAAATTCTAAAATATTAATCTTTATATATTAATTCTTGTTATATATTAATATTTATATATTTTATAAATTGTTTGTAAAATGTATTATATATAATTTTTACTTAAGAGGAAGTAAATAAAAAATAATATAATCTAAAAAATTTGTATACAAATCTAAAAAGAGAGTTTTTCTATTTTTGATTGAGATAATTAGAATTTCAATACTGCTACTAAAAAAAATTTTTTAATATAAAGTAAATTGTTACAATAATTCTTTTCTCAAATTTTAAATTGGTATAGAATAATAAAATTATATTTTCTTATCTATAGAGATTTTCTTATCTATTTTTTTATGTTTAAAAGATTTTCTATATAAATATGTATATTTCTTTCATTATTCAAGTTAAACTTTAAATTGAAACTTAAATTAAATATTATAATTTTAAAAGAAAAGTGTAAAATATTTTTTTACAACTGGGCGAAATATTGTTTCTCGATATCAGGCAAATTTCACACTGTAGGATATATATATATATATAATACATTATCGTGCTATCAGTTCGGATTAAGAGCATCAATTACCAAATCTACCATAATAAAATCATCGTTGGCGCTAGTCATTGAACAACTACTCCTTCTAGATCCGTTTTGGGATGCGCATTTCGAAGTTGTATTATCATTATTAAGTCTCTCGTTATTTCCATTGTTGCTATCAGTTGTAAGAACTGCCATTGTAGTCTTTGTATTAGGTTCTACTAGTGATATTGGAGGAGGCGACGTTTGTTTGGGTGTTAATAGCGAACTGAATGGTACGTCTGGTATCACGAGATCTTCCTCATTGACAATAACAGGCTTGTTTATTACAAATGCACCAACTTTGATGGTGTCACTAAGTGATTTTGACGTTTCTTCGCTACATTTAAATTAAAATATTATTAAAATGTAAACATTTTTTATTAAATACATGTAAATATTTTACCCATGTTTACTGACCTTTGCTGATATCGTGCATGACGCGGACTTAAGTCTGAATGAAAATGATCACTTTTAAGCATGATAGAATCTCGTCCCTTATGAGTGGGTGATATCGTCATTTTTGTTCTATAAGAAACTGATAGATGTATAGTGCCTACTGGAGTACACAATTGACCTACTCTTACATGTTTATAGTTATCACCTGTTATGAAATGGACAATATTCAATGAGAAATCATATTACATAGCAAATTAATATATATTATATTGAAAAATTAAAAAATTCATAAAATTGATAAATTGATTTTTATACTTGTAAAATAATTCACACACTATACATTTCATATATTTATAAATAAATTCTGAAATATATAAATTTAAAAAAATAAAGAATAATTCTGTAAATTATTCATTGATAAACTAACCTAAATTATGTAGCTGAGGCTCTCCCATGTATATTCGATAGCACATAGTATAGGAATCAGGTCCTTGACGTCTGCTCAATTTGTAAGCAGGCGTAACTCTTGATACAGAAAGCAAGGACTTCAATAAAATCCCCATTCTGTTATACACAGTATATGTTACTCGTACAGCCGGATCACTTTGCTCTGGCAAAACACTGAGACTCCAAGTTTCTAAAACCATTTTGTCACCCTCTACTGTTTTTAGAGAAATTTCTATGCATAGAGGTACAGCTGAGCTTACTATCTCTCCACATAGTGCCCTTTTAGCATCAGCTGACACTTCTGGTAGTTCCTTTATTGCCAGATTAAACTACAATATCAAATATGGAAATATTTATTTTATTGTCTTTTCATCAATATATATAATAAATAGTAGAATTAAAAATGACTGTATGAATCATCCAATTTATTTGGTTTAATCCAATATTTTGCATTAGAGAGTTCTTTATAAAAAATAATAATTTTTATAAGACATACTGAATATAAAAAATACTTTTCAATAATATTTAAAATATAATTACTAATCTTAAATTATCTTGACATTTAGCAAAATTATATAAATCTTTAAGGGATCATATATTTCTCGGACCTGAAAAGTAGTCAAAATGTGGTGAGAGGTTGTAAGAAAACTATTGGTTGAAATATGCTGTCGGTCTCTTGACACATATAGTATGTTGCATTGCCAATGATGCAATTTAAAGTTTGTAAAATTATTAACAGAGACATGTAGCCTTCATTAAATGTTACTGCTGTGATATATATGGCGATTTCAACAACCATAGAGTCGCTATATATCTCTTTTGGAGCAATCTTTCATATGAAAATATTCAAATTCTCATTCGATTTTTGAGTATAGTCGTCAATATATCTTGAAAGCAAATATTTTTCGCTAAAATTCTTATACACAGGTCGAATAGTATTTTCTAGAATTTAGAAAGTGCTAGCTTATGTCTGTATTCATTCGAGTTGTTGGCAGCATATGCTCGTTGTCATAAGCATCACGATTCTTCTCCGGGTGAGCAATAATGATGCTGCGGTTTCTTGTCCTTTGAAATTTTATAAAAGAACTTATATATAGCTTTTCTTTATCTCTTCAATAGAATCAGTGTGTCTCCTGATGGCTAGACCGTAATAGAGCTATAGTTCATCGATCAGTTTGCCTGTAAGATTTTTTCCGAGACTTTTTGTTGTTTTTTTTTACAAGGGCACAAAGACGCGTCCCCATCCTCTTCTGTATATGATCTACATATTTTTTTCTTTTTTTTGTAACCGGAGTATCATACGGATTTGTTTTCGGAATACCCCGAAATCTTTTACCGTCACCGTCTGTACTTCACTCTGTGTAATTGAAGTGATCGCTGAAACATTTCCCGCATTCCGCTTCCTTCATAATTTACGGCACAGTCATGTTTTCCAATTTGCATATTCCTCGGTGTTACTTTTTTTCTCTCAATATTCGCAGGCTTTACAATAAGACGATTTTATAATAATGTCTATAACTTTTCTCGTCAAATTTCCAATAAGAGTTACCACACCGAAAAGAGATGAAAATCTATGCTTTTTCCAAGTCTCCCATCTCCGGAAATAGTTCCTCCTTCATCCTCAAATGTATCTACTTCTTGAGTTTTTTCCGCAGCATGTTTCAGTGAAATATCACAAACAATTTTTGCAACAGTCAATTTGTTAATAGAGAAAAATACGCTGTGGCTCACACTCATCACATTATATTATAATTTTAAATCCAAGACTTCGAATGTCAATTTCTGTAAATATTTTATGTTATCTCTGTATGTTTTGCATTTTACATACGTATTAATAGTTATAAACACTGCAAAAAAAGTTTAAAATTCGATAGCTAAAAGTTGCATCTATTATCACCTCATAATCTTGCCGCTCTTTTAACTTTTTTGCAGATGCACTCATCATAGCTTCTTCGAATTCTATTTTTGTTTTCGTCAGAGGTCGTTTTTTTAATGGATCGGGAAAGTCGTCTTGAATCATTTCTTGATTCTTTTTGGTCGATATATATTCGTCCTGTCATTTTTATATCTATTTATAAGGCCTGATTGCACTAACATTATTTTGATTTTAAGTGAAGTTTAAAATTCTCTTTATCTCTGTCTCGCTTTAAAACAAGACAGAGAGTTTTAAGTTTCGCTTAAAGTCAAAGTAACGTTGGTGCAACCAAACCTTAGTTACTTATCTGAAATACTGAATACACGATACAAATAAACACGCGACTGAAATGTACTTTTCCACAGTTCTAAGCCGGCTATGGATTCTAAATGGGCAGTAATACATTACAGATTCTTCATACAAATAATATAATAATTTTTCCTCTCTTCTTTTCTTTTATTCAGACGACAACGCACCGATAATTGGTTGGAAATCTGATCTGTGAGCGACTAGTTTTGTTAAAGCAGCTGTAACTTTGTCAATAATTCGAATATCGAATTCGCTTTGTTTTTAAAATATTTCTAAGATGTATACCTTTTAAAATAAGAAAAAAAAATCGATTTTTTGAAGCTGAAAAACATATATGACCCCTTAAGTATGTCTTACTAAAAAGATCTACTTGCAATTTTCTGATATTTCAATATAGAAATAATAAAACATAATAAAAGAAAACTATTCTAGATATAAATTTTAGTGTTCATTACGCTGAATGAACATAAATAGAAATAAAAAAACATTGAATCGGTGCTATTTGTTTTTCCATTTGCTTTATATACTCCATTTGTTTGTTATATATATTTACTAATAAAAATGAATTTAAATAAATATATATAGTTTAATGTATAATTAATCCTCCTATGATAATGAAAGTCAGATGTGATACATTCTACAGCTTCATCTATTTTACATGTACTGTTTAACAAAGAAACAAGTTTTATGATATTGGGTACTTTCCAGGCCTAACTCTTAACCGAGATCGAGTTCAACTTGTTTCTCATCTCTTTTTAATTCTAGAATTGGAAAGAGATAATGAATAAATTGAATTTCGATTAAGAGTTAATTGTGAGTTGTGAAACTAGGCTTTAGGCTGGGTTGTTTCCACCTTTTGGTAAACTTCAGCTCACTGTCTTACTCTCTTATCTCTTTTACTTTTTTGTTTATCTTTTACTCTTTTTATCCAGTAGATAAATTATCACCTAGTTTATCCAAAGATGGAACAACCAGTCCTTAGAGATAGAAATCAAAAATTATTCTATCTTTCCTGACATTCAGAGAATAATAAAGAGAGAATGACAATTATGTAAACATGTGTTACCAAATGGGAAAAGGTTCGTTCTGTTTCATGCATGATGCACATGATATAGCATTTTATCCTTGTTGTTCATCAAATATTAAAGTAAAATAAAATGATATATTATGCACATCATATATGAACGTAATCATCATAATGAACCCAAAGCATACAATGTTTCTTCAGAAATAATGCAAAGTCGTAAAGAAAAGTTAAAAAATGTTAGTATTTGGTTACTGCATCTGTCCATCAATACACACGTGCATATATAACTTAAAAATAAAAATAGATCAGCAATTTTGATGAAACCAGATAAATTGGACTGAGGTAAACTTTACTTTTACCCAGTCGCCAGCTGATGAGTCCGGCTTGCATGTAGTGTTGACTTTCTGGCCCGATCTTGACTGCACTATGACTTGGGCAGCCCTCAACGCAAGATACTTGGTAAACTTCTCCAAATCCTTCTTGTCTTGCATGCTTAACTGTGCTGACATTTTATACCGCTGCAATTATAATCGCGGCACTACAGGTGTTCCTCGAACACGTGAGAATGGAAGATACGTATGTCGTAGCATCATAACGGAATAGATACATCGCATCCTCGACATGTGTAACCGTCTCTCTCTCTCTCTCTCTCTCTCTCTTTCTCTTTTTCTCTCTCACACACCACACATATGGCAAAGATCAAGATTGCAAATGCTTACACGCATCCGATACACGATCGATGCACTTTGAGCTCTTCACATGGACTTCGGAATTCGTAAGTAGATTTGAGCACACGCACGATACGCTTTCTCGAAAAGTTCATCGACAAAATCGACAACATCGTCGCACTGCGTACGATCACAATTCACACAATAGATGATGTCCCTTCGAAAATCGAATGTTAATCTACGTCATGAATATTGTTTTATCAGAACAAGTTGACAATTTGGAAAATTTGAATTCACTTACGAAAAAGAATCAAAATATATAAGAATATGCCAACGAGATCTTCTGTCTTCCTACTTTTACAATGAACTCTACAAAGTACAAATCGATTGAAAGAGTACTGTCGTTACTGAGCGCATGGTATATAAGAATCTAAGATATACATGCCCATGATGTAAGAAGACAGGGCACGTATTCAGAACGCGCTTTATCTCTAAAATTCTATAGTATGCGTGACGTAAATTATAGCATGTTAGCGCGTTAACATCGTTGTAACGCGTTCTGAATACGGGCCATGTAGAGTCCCTATAAGAGAGTCGTGTTCAATCTTGTCACAATTTTCATTGGCTTGAAATAAAATGGCGGAACCAATCATCGATGCTATTATATTCCCACTTTGAATATCGTGAACGCGGTGATTTAAATTTTAGAAATTGTAAGAGTAGAATTTACGTTAAATTATATAATTGATAAATAGAATTAATGTTAAAATACAAGATATTGACAGAAGTAGATCTGTTTTTATAGCTGAATTAGTTTTACACTTTTGGAACTGAAATAGTGATGATACGAAACAGTAATGAAATAACACTTTTATTTAACAATACTTTTATTTTAAATATAAAATTTCTTGCCATCATCAAATTGTTATATATATATATATGGTAATTTTAAACGCCCTTTTTGATAATATATTTTAATCCTAAATGTAATAAATCGTTTCATGATTTTATGTGAAATATTGTGACAATTTTTAAGTGTCTTACAGTGTCTTATACGATTGATGACAAGGTTAGAATGTCACTTTCGATGTTTTCGTACCACATAATATCTGTATCTTTTAGATCATAATCAACAATGCCTTTATAATCTTTATTATTCGTAATTCACGATTAGGTACATACTATATATTGGGTCATCTAAAAACCGCGGATACTTTTTAGATGACCCAATATTATGACATGCTGCTCTCAGTAGGTTACTAAAGTCCCTAAAATATTCCTTCTTTCGGATGGCAGACTTGAAGGTATCGATTCTATATTTTCAAACAAGGTGAAAATCACTATCACAATTACAAAAGTAAGCGAATTTACTAGAATACTGATAATTTGGTCAACATCTAGTAAATTTGTTCACTTTTGTAATTTTCACCTTGTTTGAAAATATAGAATCAACCCTCAGAATCAATCTCGAGATCCGTTTATAAAACAAGGAAATCTTGGAAAATCGAGGAATCTTTCATGGAGACTTCCTTCATTCTTAAAATAAGGTATGACTATGAACGTACGGGTGTAAATATACTCATGTTATCTTTTCCACCATGCTAGCAATCTAGTAGGAAAACAAGCATCGTGTAGTGCCGCAAGATTTATTCGTTTTTCAAGAGTGATAAGAGTTATTCTCATTTGTAGAGAAATTCGGAAAATTTGTTGATTAGTGTGTGTAATAATACAAGATGGTACATTACTGTATAGTGAATGGTTGCTATAGCACTTCTGATAAATGTAACGGTGACCGTGTAAGTTTTTTTCATTTGCCAAAAAATCGAATTATGCGTGAACTTTGGCTGCAAAAAATCGGAAAAAATCGCATACGTCACAAGGAACAATTTGGTAAGTTCATTCTCAATTATATTTAAGTATTTTAAACATCAACTATCCTGTGCTAGACAATACATTAACATAGACTCTCCATTAGAATGCATTATTTTATCTACAATTTTACTAGGATCAACCTATATGATTTTTCTATATTTCTGGAACATATTATAAAGTTATATTTTATATGTTTAGCAAGAATATGTTCATTGCATTTTTCGGAAGATTCATTCATGGTACCAAAAAGGAAATCGAAAGTTACAGAAGACAAGAGAAGACAACGTCTTTTACAAACTGCTGTACCAACTTTATTGTTAACACCAACAGAAAACAAGTATAATTTTTGCAATTGTTTTATTATTGTTTTTTATATGATAAATAGTATCATGTATTTTTAACACGTTTCAGGACAGATGCTATGATAAATATGGATTTTAAAATTATTCGTCGAGAATTTCTACTTGTCAGTAAACCAAGCACAAGCAGAGACAAGAATGAAGATGTCAGCAGTGGAATTGATACAGTGAATAAATCTTGTGGCAACGTTACTTCTGATAGCACAAACGAAACTGATGGCATTGCGGCAGCATCAACAATGTGTTCTAAAAGGTAAAATAAAAAATGATTTGTATATTAACAATGCCCCTTTTGATCACATTACAAAGTTACATAATAAAATTATGTAATTAAGATAAATAAATTATACAACGGATTGTTTCAAATCAGTACACGATTTTTTATTATAAAATCACAATTTAAAAAATCATATGATGATCTGTTTTTTGCTTCTATTTCTATCATTTAATTCTTTAAAATTTGATAACTTTAAAATTACATAATGGATGGAATTATTTCTAATATTATGTAATTTTTCAAATTAATTACGTGAAATTAAAAAATCATATATTAATTTGAAACATTCTGTACGAAACATTCTGTTCTTTACATGATTTACTTGTTTTACAATACAACTGTTTTACAATACAAATTACATGATTTCATTATGTAAACAAATATATAAAATGAGACTTGAAAGAATCTATCAGTGAAAAATGTAAAAAAGCCCATCAGAGCCTACATCAGCTGTTCGGATGCACAGAAAATTCTTTATTTTCGTATGAATGTAACAAAACGAATAAAATAAACGTTTCGATCCTTCAATTCCTTATCAATATAAAATATAAATCGAAATTACATAAGTAATGCAAATTCTAAGTTGATGATTCCCGACAATTTGGTTCGTTCTTCTTTATTCAAATGCTAAATTAGCTATGTAATGAATAGCCCAATGATTATCAAAAATATTAACTTATAATGATATAAAAACTTACATAAAATAAAGTAAAATCGAAGTCATATACATTGCGTCACTAAGTAGAATCACATCGTTCATCAGATTGTCAGATTTGCGTGTAGATTCAAAAGAAACACGAAAATGAAAAATTAGAGAAATATTAAAATCATTTGTCTGAATTTTAATTATATCAACTTACATGTAAGCGTTTTCTCGCTTGCTCTTAAAATAATAAAATCATGTAGTTATTGAAATAAAAATAAAAATAAGAATAAAAAGAGATAAAACCAGAGTTCAGTTACACATTTCCTAGAAGGTACGCTGTGCATGGAAATGCTTTCATCAAGATAGGATGACTGAAATTTTAAGCATTAATCAATAAATACAACTGTTACTGATTTTTTTACAGATCACCGAGATTTGAACCATATATGTACAACAGAAGAGCGAGCGCTACAAGAAAGTACAAACAACGTGATAAGGCGCATTCAAATGTTATCCCAGAAGGAACCGTAACATGTTATAACACGGAAACTACCCCTTTATCAATACGTAGACAACAGTATTTATTTTTTCATATGTACTTTTTATATCTCAGAAATATGAACAAAATTTTCTCGTGAAATGCGCTATGTACTTTACCAATTTTTGTTGGAATTATTTACTTATTTTTTAATTTTTACAATAATATAAATATATATATTAATGTATTTCAAAATTTAATAAGTAAATTTAATAGTAAATTTTGAAAAAATATTTCAATTATATGTGTAAATGTGTTTATATTATTAAAAGTTAAAAAAAGTGTAATTTCAACAAAAATTTGTTATTTAATGTATATGAATTTTGCTTTATTTTAAATATCATGAATTATATGATAACGTCTTTCCAGAATTTTCATGGAGAACCATAACGAAAACATCAAAAACATTGATTCAAAATCAATCGAAATATACGACTTACAACCAGATGTGACGTCCGTTAAAACAGAATTACAGCATTGTTCATCGCCTGAAATTGATATTAAATCAGAATGTACAGATTTTGCAATGCAAATACCATTGGAACTAGATGCATTGAAGCAACAATTGCAAGAGAAAGACGAACAATTGGAAAAGATATCTGCCGAAAAGGAACAAATATTGCAATTGATTAATGATCAAACACAATTGGCAATCACTACTGCGGTCAAGAAGACTCTCGAAGACGAAAGAGAAGAATATGTCATAGGGCTATTAAAACCCTACTTTACAGAAGGGCAAATTCGGTGTATTTTGGAGAAAAAAAAATGGATTCAATGGTCTATTGATGACTACGCTGCAGCTATTTCGTTACAGAGTGTAAGTCCTAAAGCTTACTGCTATCTTCGAACGAAATTGCATTATCCTTTGCCATCGTTAGCGTCATTAAGAAGGTGGGCATTAAAAAAGTTCCGTATTGAAGAAGGATTCTTAACTGACGTTCTAACTGTAATGCGAGAGAAAGGCAAGGAACTGTCATCGCTAGAGAAACTTGCTGTTCTCAGTTTCGACGAAATGGCTGTCTCTTCTGAAATAAATTTTGATGCTAAATTCGAAAAATTGGTTGGCCCATATGGAAAAGTGCAAGTCATGATGGTCCGCGGTTTGTTTAGCAATTGGAAACAACCGATTTATTACAAATTTGACCAACCAATGAACAAATGTATTCTACTGGAGTCCATAACACTCTTATATAATGCTGGTTATCAAGTAATCGCCATAGTTTCAGACATGGATAACCGAGGAGTCTGGACAGAATTGGATATCAGCCCTTATAAATATAATAAATACTTTTTCCACCATCCTGTGAATGAAGAGGAAAAAGTATTTGTTTTTGCAGATGTTCCACATCTGCTGAAACTCTTGAGAAATTGGTTATTTGACGACGGACTATTACTAGGAAATAGCAAAGAACTATTTACTCGTGAGATCTTCCAGACACTTGTCAATATAAGCAATGTTGACGGTCTACGTATCCCTCATCGTATTACTCAGCAATTGCTAGATGTTCGTGGTTCACAACGTGAATCAGTTAAATCAGCAACAAGAATTTGGTCGCATACAACTGCTAAAGCGATCCAGTGGGCTGGCGAACATGGGCTTTTGAAATCTTCGGAATACGAAAGGTTTTCAGAATTCGTGTCAACAGTCAATAAGTGGTTCGATGTGCATAATTCTAAATTAAGATACGGATTGCATTCAGGAGTCAATG